AGGCCTTGTTCAAACCAGGGGCATGGTTTAAAGGTGAGACCATTTAAGGATATTTTATTTTCCCTTTTCAAGAGTCATAACAGGAAATTGATATTAGAGAACAGCAATTGTAGATTTTTGATTATTGGGGCCTCTTAACTCTTTATGTATTCCTATTTGTTATGCCCTACATTTTTTAGTTCCGGTTTATAAACATGCACATTTACTTGTACTGCTCCCACATCAAAATAAACAGAATCGTTAATGACATCAGCATGGCCTCTAATAATTGTAACAGATTCTTTCAGTTTCCAGATGTTAAATGGACTGAACAACAGTGGTGGAGAAACTGTTGTTAAAATACAACATTAAAAGTAAAATCTAATCCTGTTGGTACTTAACTTAAAGCATGTACTTATAATCAAGGATACACTAACTCATATTTGTTTAGTAATATAGTCATTATACTTAGTTAAAAAAAGAACAGCTTGCTTTCAGCAAAACAATATCTTGGCAATTTAAAAGCTTCTACATCAGACATTGTGAGCATAGACAACTTATTTTTTAAATAAATAATTCTGTGCTTTCAAAGTTTGCTTTCATATTTGATGTCATTAATACATTTGTAAATGTATTTGTTTTGAACACATTATTTTAGGGCCATTGAGCACATGAAAAAAACTAAGTCAACTCACAAAAAATATATTTAATCAAATGGCAGTGTATGAATTTAAGACCCCAGGTTTGATGATTGATGTTAAATGGATATATCCGCCTTCTTTCATTTATCTTTCCATTCCCACAGCAATATACATAAAGAAATGGCATTTTTTGGACATAGTTCGAATGGTGATTAATCATGATTAATTCATTTTTAAGCTGTGATTAATCTGATTTAAAAATGTTAATCATTTGACAACCCTAATAAATATATATATATATATATATAAAAAAATAATCTTTTTAAAACATTTTTTTTTTTATAAACACCTTGAATTTCAGGGAGGGTGCGGGCCTCCGTTGGTGGAGCGCAGCGCCCCTCCAAGACAATGGTAGGGGAAACACTGCAGGTGATGTGAAAACGTTTACTTTCCCTTAGATAAATATAAAGTTACTTAATCATACCCAATTATCCTTACATGGTTTATATCTTATCTAACTATTGTTTCATTAAATGCCCAGTGAATCCTGCTGGGATAAGCTCTAGTCACACATTACATTACATGTTACTTGTTAGACGCTTTTATCCAAAGCAACTTACATACTCAATACTGTGGACAATCCCCACAAGAGCAATTTGGGGTGAAGTGTCTTGCCCAGGGACACAACTACATGCTGACTGCAGTGGGGTTTGAACCTGTGACCCCCTGATCCCAACACCACACGTGACCTTAAAAAATAAAAAGTAGCTGAATTGAACAACAGAGAGGATTTGACAGCTTGTTGCAACAAAGACATTACAGGCTTACTGGGATCTGTCACGTTTCTAATTCCAGCACCATATTTAGAAAACTATGCGGAGGACACTGTCGGCGGATTAGTTTCTGTCCGCAGGGTAAAATACACCATTGGTTCTAGAAGCTCAGTAATCACGGCACGCACATTTAATTGGGTTAAATCATCATTCATGTGTCAATAATTCATTTGGCCAATGATCGTAGAGTACTTATTTTCTTTAATCCTGTCAGTTTTATGTATTCACATTAATGTTCCAGATAAATGGGACCATTTTCCCCCAAACCTCCCATGACCCATATTTACAGGACCACCAATATGAGACGACACCACTAAGTGGCAGTGTTGCTCACAAGTACACTGAACACTACTGTATACCAACACAGTGTGAAAGTTGTTATTATACATATGGTGAATGGGAGAACTGACTGCTAGTGATAAGCATTTTCCATTGTTTCTTCTTGCATTGTGATTCATTAATTTAACTGTAGAAATTAGATATACCATTCAGTGTTTCCCCTACCAGCCCCCTGAAATTCAAGATGTTTAAAAAATTAAAAAATTATAATTTTTCTTATAATTTTTTATTTATTTATATATATAGCACCAACTTGCAACTAATCTATATCTACTGTCACTTTTCACATTGAACATGTGCTCTTTTATTAAATAAACTAAACGCTTGCATTTTAAGTTTAGTGTTTTTGACCCTAAGAAACACTGATGCATTAATCAATAACAGCTCCTCTCTCTGGTCCAGAGGATTTAAAAAATATAAATATCCCACGCTCTAGGCACACCCCTCCCCCCACCCAAGCAGTAAAGCCAGGGCGGAAATCATCTGCATTGATTTTTAAATATATTTTTGGTGAGTTGACTTTAGTTTTTTTCATGTGCTCAATTCACCTGCAGGCCCTAAAATAATGTGTTCAAAACAAATACTTTTTACATTACAAATGTATTAATCACATCAAACATCAAATATGGGAGCAAACTTTGAAAGCACAGAATTAATTTATTAAAAAAATAAGTTGTTTATGCTCACAATGTCTGATGCAGAAGCTTCTAAACTGCCAAGATATTGTTTTGCTGATAGCAAGCTGTTATTTTTTTCACCCAAAAGATAAACTGATTGGGCTAACTGTAAAGCAAACTTTGAAAGCACAGAATTATTTATTTAAAAAACAAGTTGTTTATGCTCACAATGTCTGATGCAGAAGCTTTTAAACTGCCAAGTTATTGTTTTGCTGATAGCAAGCTGTTATTTTTTTTACCCAAAAGAAAAACTGATTGGACTAACTGTAAAGGTTTATATTAAAGGCCAAGTTTGACAGTGAAAACTGCAATTTATCCTACTTGATGCATATACTTAACTACCTAAAAAACCAACATCCAGAAACACAGGATAAATTGTTTTATTGCTAATTTACTATCTTTATAACTTTCACACGGCCAAGTGTGTTAATCATACAGCCATACGGTTCTCCAGACGTGACTGCTCGCAAGTCATAAACGTGGGAATCTCTCCCATCTATGCAATCCGTTCCAACGAATTTAAAGATAGCTTAACTTAAGATGCCTTTGTCCTGCAGTATTGAAAGTGTGTTTTCACAGTTTATGGAGCCATAAACAGTTGAATCCCTTTTACTAGGGACTAAAGCTCAGGTTAAGCAAAGTCACTGTAGCATCTGTCACGGGTTGCCCATCTTATAGAAGTGCTGGAGTACTCAATAATATTATGTGCCTCTTCTGTCACACAGGTATACTGATTCCTCTGTGTGAATCTGGGACATGTACTCTGAGGGAAGCCATCATCATCGGAAGCATACTCACAAAGTGCTCCATCCCTGTCCTCCATTCCAGGTAATGTTTCATCAATACACTAACCTGCAGACAAATGTCAGCAAATAAATACATTAACTACTGCACCATAATCTCTTCTGGAAATGAATGGTGATTGTAACATTTACCACTGAAGACAAAAGCCAGGTTTTTTTTAATCCAATGTGAAAGGAGCTTTAGATAAAGGTATCAGCCAGGTTTCCTTGAATACTTCATATTTGGTGGTGTTAGCAAGATAAGTGAGGTCAAGGTTGCATAACCTGGGCGGTTGTATAACGCAAAATTGTTCTTGTCTTTCAGCGCTGCAATGCTTAAGTTGGCAGAGATGGAGTACAACGGCGCCAACAGCATTTTCCTACGCCTCTTGCTTGACAAGAAATACGCCCTGCCTTTCCGTGTCCTAGATGCCTTGGTGGCCCACTTCCTGTCCTTCCGCAGTGAAAAACGTGAGCTTCCTGTGCTGTGGCATCAGAGTTTACTCACCATGGCTCAGCGCTACAAGGCTGACCTGCCCTCCGAACAGAAAACGGCACTGCTGGAGCTGCTCAAGACACAAACACACCCTCAGATTTCTGCAGAGATTCGCAGAGAACTGCAAAACTCAGAGTCCAGGGATCTTGAAATTGGGCTCCCTGTTGTAGTTGAAATGGACTGAGGAATATGTCTGGTCTGGGGTCTCCTCCCTCTCTGTTGCAAATGATTCATGTTTTTTTTAGCATGAAGAAAATTGTATTAAATCTAAATTCATTATTCTCCCTGAACCATAAAAGGACAATTTCAATGATTGCATTCTATTACAATGCCTCAGGAGCAATCATCCTGCACCCTGCTTGGATGAAGTTGCACATCATTAGTGATGTTGATATTGTAATTTAATATCAGAAATTTCTGAGCTTTTATCCTGCAGTTGCAGTGCAGTGTTTTCCTTGGGAATACAAAGACTGGGGTTTGTTATGATTTGATTAAGAGCAACTTGTTTAAGCGAAACAAAAGATGGATAGTAAAAGACAGTCTATTTGCAGCCCATTTTTCGAATATTTACCTGAAATGTTGTCTTCAAATGGTAAATAAAATGTAATACTTAACTTTCTAAAACATATTTAGATGTCTCTGACCTTTCAATTTTGTTTTTAATTGTATCTAAGATGTATTGATAATTTGTGAAACACATTTTAATTGGTCATTAAATACAATTTAAATTAAATATAACAATTATTTAACTCAAAATATTTAGCAAGTAGTCTACACTGAAAAATAAACGTAAGTTAATATTATTAAGGAAACTCTTTTACTCATCGTAAGAGTGAGAATAATTGTAAATATGAAGTGTACCCTTAAGAATAATGTTAATATAAGACCCCACTTTAAAGGTAGGTTAGGTAAGAAAGGACAAACCAGCTCGAATTTGAAAGTACACAACCGAAAAAAATCTGCCCCTTCCTTCAGACTTCCTTACAGAGCCCCTCCAACACACACGAACACGCACATGACCAATGACGGCACGAGATAAGTTTGTGCACGAGATGGAAGGCTGACAGGCAGGTAGGCCATCCAATTAACTGCCACGGGCCGAGGCAGTAATTGGGCTTGCTTTTTACACTGCCACGGCTTCCACAGATTAAATATTTATATGTATTTATTGTCAAAGCATTTAATGTATTCATTGCTATCGGGATGTAAAGAGCATTCCATGGAATATAACAAAGTGATTTACCCAAATTAGGTGATTTACAGTAATCAGAAATTAAATTGCTCTTTGCCTTTCTATACCAAAAAAATAGAACATACCAATACACTCGTGTCTTTTTCTAACTCAAAAGGAACATTTCAATGTAATGCTAATTTACAACTCTTCTCTGAACTAAACAAAACTGGGATTTTGATGTTGTTGTCGTAATGTGCGGTCAGGTTTACGTCATGGGTCTGGACTGTTTAGAAACTTCTGGGGGTTCAAATTATCCCGAGGGCCACGAACGCACCATTAAATTAACATATTTTTCTGATGAACCAGGATGACATTTATTTAAAATTGGTTTAAAAGAGTATATTTATATCCCACTGATGCTAAATTGAAGGAGACATCAAAAACGAGGCGGTAGGAGATACAGTTTGAACGCTACAGGACAGTTAGCATCGCTAGCTAACGGTAGACCTTAAAAGCTTAAAACGGTAACTAGCTAGTGTATCGGCTTTTTAATAATTTAAAGTAGATATAATATTTAATTCCACGGTATTTAACTTCGTCGAATGGAACTTTGTGAGGATGGACAGCTTCAAAGTGGATCCACAGATATAAATGCGTGTGGAACGGAGTGTGATGTGGTTCTCCGGGCTGGCAGCGACCATCCCGTGAACTGCGACCCGAGAACCCTGCACAACCTGACGGCCTTAGAGAAGAGCTGCCCGCTGCCCACGCCCTGTGGCAAGGTGCAGACAGAGATCGAGCCCCACATGCGGAGCATACTGGCAGTCTGGATGTTTCAGGTGTGCAAATCAGTCAGAAAAGTTCAAGTGTATCTCAAATTGTTATTGGTGATGACGTTGATTTTGTAATTTCATATCAGGAATAGCCTATCTGACTGTATATCCTCAAATCAATAAAAAAAAAAAAAAGTCTATATATCTCTCGTAGCTGACTTTAAAAGCAACATATGGGTGTTTTGTAGGTGTGTGAGGAGCAGAAATGTGAAGAAGAGGTGTTCCCATTGTCGGTGTATTTGCTGGACTGTTACCTGAGCCGCTTCGCCACTGAAAAGTCCAACCTGCAGCTTTTAGGATCTGTTTGCATGTTCCTGGCCTCCAAAATGAGAGAGACTGTCCACCTGACGGCCAGCACGCTTTGCATCTACACAGAAAACTCCATTTCAGTTTCAGACATCCTGGTAAGTATACCTAAACTTTGTGCAGTAGTGACTTATCACTACTGTATACTCTATTGTACATGTACCCATAAGCAATGTAGCAATGTAGCTAGCTTGGGTTATGGGTTTTAAAAATATTCAGGCCTACACCAGTCATTGGAACAAAATCCAAAATAGGCCTGTCAGAATAACTACATTTGTTGGACGATATATATTTTCCTAGAAATAAAGCCTATAAACACTTACTTTCATTCAAAACAAATCTATGCCAGTGATAAGCATAATATATCATGGTATAATACTGCAAGTATACTCTTTCAAAGAGCAATGAACTTTTCATAATAATATTCAGTGATTTGGGATCCAATTTAACAAATAATTAGATAAATAAAAAGATATATGATAAGTCGATAACACAATTATCATCAAAGGCCCTATGCCAAAGACATTGGATACCCAAATATACAATTGATCCCACTGTCCAGTGGGATTCCCTCAGATGTTAGACATAGCTTTGTCTTATTTGTATATGTGTGTGTGTGTGTGTGTGTGTTTCAGCAGTGGGAGGTGGAAGTCGTGTCCAGGTTAGACTGGTGTCTGGCGTCTGTGGTACCCTCTGACTTCCTG